AATGCAATCGGTAACGAATTTTCCAAAGTACCCGACACCGTGAACTCTGGGATAAATGCAATCGGTAACGAATTTTCCAAAGTACCGGACACCGTGAACACTGGGATGAACGCAATAGGTAAAGAAGTTTCCAAAGTACCAAAATGGATATCCGACGTAGGTTGTAGCGAATTTGTTACCGGTATTGTCATTAATCTACTCATCAAGTGCAATCCACACGCATTTATTACTGACACATTAGACACCGAAGATATAATAATGATGAATACATGTAAATCGATCGAAGTCGTATCATACGTGTTACCGTTGATCGCCGATTTAGCGACATCCCCCGTACAGATCGTCTGCTCTGTTTGGATTGAAGATCGTTTGGAATTGTACTCTCATTTAAAAGGTATCGATGTGCATACAGGACCTTCCGGGACCAATTTCATAAACAATGATGAATTGTTTTATAATTTATCGAAACTTAACGATCAACATTGTAACAACGATTGTAACTTGGATGATTACGTATTTATCAAACTAGACGAACGAAACGAATCTTCTGCAGACACAACGTCGTCGCCCAGTGACGTCACTAGATTTAAACGAGGCATTTTTGGTAAAGCGCTGTCCATACCGACCAAAGTTATTGTGAAAAAATATACCGTTAAAGCTGCACCTAAATTGTTAATGAAAAATGGCGTGACGTCGACGTTGGCTTTTCGAGGTCTTAATGGTTTGGTTAGTAATAAAATGACAACGAAAACATCGGTTATGATTTTTAATATCATAGAAAATAAACCTCTCGATAAAGTTAAGAATGTGTACGATGTATTTGTATTAACTAAAACTGTTCCAACCACGTTCACCAGAAAATATTACAATAACGTTTATGGGACTTATAAATTTGGGAGAGAAGCCGCTGAGAATTTTCAACGTGATCTCACGAAGAAAGAATCGAAATTATTACAAACATTGATCCAACACATTGATAATTGATGAATTTGAAAGTAAGCTGAAATACGTAATTTAATTCAATTTTATATAATAAAAATAAATAACTTAAAGATGTATCGTAGTATTCGTAGTGCATCATTATAACGTTGTCTACATTATAGAATATAATTTTTAAATACTATTACATGATTTTATATTAATAGTTTGTGGCTAAGATGTTAAATGATAAAGTGTTGACGATTAACTTCAACATTTTTAAAACCATATTGTAGTAACTATAATAACTATATATAGTAAGATTTATATACAATTTTCTTTTGATTTTATGTTTCTTTATTATAAGACAATTTTATAATGCTGTCCAAATTCCGAAGTTTTAATATTAATAATAAAAATTTACTTTATAATTGAACACTTAATCTTGGTATTTCTTCAAAAATAATAAAAGATTATACACTTATACAATACACATAGATAATACATAATGTATTATGTATTATCTATGACAATACAGTTGAGTAATATTTTGCTCATAATAAACATTAAGTACGATATACTCAAGGGGAAGCACGATTATGGAAATAGTACCCGTGATTTCAAAATACCATAGGCGTATTTTGTGGGTAGAACTAGAATATTATTATAATTTTTGTGCCTGATAAATATGTGAATAATCGTAGCAGAATTAATTAACTCTACTAGAATTGTACGGTGATCATTCAAGAAATTTATATTCGTTTTTGCCGTTCGATTCAGACGTAAGAAATCACGGTCAAGTACTCCAATCCACAAACGCGTGCACTATTGGTTTCGTATTAATAAACTACAATTTATAAATAAGCTAAATCGCCGGAAGTACAAAAAAAATTTAAGTGAGTATAAAATACGTTCCTGTAATTCGACTCGTTTAGGTTCATACACGCGTCCAAGTCTTAAACTCGACCAACAAAAATACTATATTGTGTAATATAAAGTATTGTAATAGTAAAACCGCCTTAAATCGTCAAACAATTCATGAAAACTCAAAACTGTAGTCTGCCTCACTAAAGTAAAATATCGCTCGCGTTTGACGAAAATCGTATTCCTATTCTTAACTCTTGTGCAACTCCATTTTCCAGTTCTCCACGACTCTACACGGTCTACACCGTTCCGTCGCTCCAAACTGTACGTGCCATGAAAACGTGCGGATGACTGCCGCACACCCAGTGAGTGGCAGTGACCATTTCTTTTTGGTGATTTTAACTGTTTCGCGCCAAGTATAAAATTTAAAACTCATATCGTACCTGGGGCGCGCACCTGTGATGGATCAAATATTGAGGCTCATTGGTTTTTTAGAAAAATCGTCACACGGCGCCGCAGCCGTCATCCGCTCGTTTTCGTGACGCGTACTTTAATACTCTCACTACATTCGGCCCGGCATCGGTTCGTGTTCGTAGCTTAGTGCACTTTGCACGCGTGCAACAGTACCGTTTTTTTCTTTGTACAGACTATATTTATTTATTTATTTTGTAAGTAAAAATCACTATTTTTTGATTTCAGTATGAAACTATGAACTATATACCTACCTATGAAAAACCTTGTTTTCCATTTTCAAGCTTTTTGACTATCTAGGTGACCGTTTTTTATCAATAATGTCAAATGTCTAACAGACATTGTCTATAAATAGCTTAGAAAGAATCCAAATATTTTTGAAAATTCTATCACGCATAGAAAATGGTAATACTCGTTAATCTTAATTTTCGGTCTGAGTTTAAACTATTATAAAAAACTTTGTATTAAATTGCCAAACCTTTGGCTAAAATATTATGCCTATTTACATACCAATAATATTTTTAAATAACAACTTACGAGGAAACTTTTATTCAATTTTTAAGTATTTTTACCGAGCTAATAAACATTTTTTATCAATATGTAAAGAAAAAAAATGCAGTTTCAAATTAAATCAAAATATTTTAAAATTTATACCACCTGTAAAAAAATAATATGTATAAGTATTTAATAAAAAATACTGGTTTTTAAAATCTGAGTATAATCATTGTTATTGCAATATTCTTATACAAATATATTATACATGGATTTTTTTGAGTTTTTAAAGCATTTATAATGTTTTTTTAATACGTTTTTCGAGGTTTATTGTGCATTTTGTACCGTATTTTTTGAAATGTTAAGGTATTTTTAATGCATTAAATTCACAACTCTATTATTAACTTTGACCTTTAAGTATTTGTGACAGGGCCAGTTTTTGATACGATCTATGAGTGCGACGACACAGCTAATCAAAATTAGAATTTGATCAAATATATGTATGTGATATTTATCTCTTTTATCAAATATCTAATATCTGGGCGTTGAAAGAGTTTAAGCCTGATTTGAAATAATGTTATTACTATAACCATTTATATAAATCATAGAAATAACAACTAAACATAAATTGTCGCTACCTAAGATTCTGAAAATATAAAAAATCTTTATTTTTTTGACGTATCTATATTATATTATTAAAATCTAAGAAGATTTTTTCTGAAAGTTGTACCTGAAATTCTATTCGAACAGATTTGCATAATAAGTAAATAAATAAATAAACACTAAAAATTAATACCGCATTATTATAAATATTAATTTTGTATATTTATCTACATACATTTTTCTTATAATAATTATGTATAGGTAATTTTTTTTCTTAGTGTAACACAGTAGCAACGACGGGTTATTCAACTATAAAAAAAAAATAGTACCTACTAGTGGTACGATATAAGGTAAACCCTAAATCGTGGCTAGTGATGCATTAAAACTCCGTATTGAACCGGCATCTCGACGTTAGGAATTTAATAATATTAATACCGCTATAATATCATTACAGACTCTACTTTTTTAGTTTTATTTATTTATTTATTTTTTTTGAAACCACAAGTTGCTCTTATGCATGTATTTACCATAGTAAAGTTACATGTACGTAACTAATATAATATTGTGATAGTGTTATCAAAAAATTCGGTAATGTCGTGCTATCACTTATCACTGTTATCTTTTATTAAGTGTACAATCGTCTTCGTATTCGTTAACGAACGTATAAACAAAATACAAATCGCGGTCGTTAGTCGTTTCTCGACATATTCATCTTCTATTTAGTTTTGTGGCGAATAGGAATAAGAATAATTAGTTAAAATGGAAGAAGATACGAAAAAAATATCTTTTTCGTTTAAACAAGTGTCCAAACCTAAGGTAATTCCTGTAACTCCAAAAACAGAGAAAGCGGTTCAGTTTATTGAATGCGTTGAAGAGAAATCAATCAAAATTGCTGGAGTAGAGGAAACTGTTGAACATGAATTAGTCGTACCTATGCCGAAGTCAGTCAAACAGCGACTACTGCCTAAGGAAGTGAGAAGCTCAGTACCAAGTCAACCGCAAGAGAACGGGACGGCAACACTGGAAGAAATGGCTGTACAAGCAATATTAAAGGGCTGTAAAAAAAGAGAAGAAGGCGAAGAAGATGACGAAGAAGAAAATAAAAAAATAGTTGAAGTTCCATTGATTATCGATCCTCAGGAAGGGACAGAGATGTCTACAGCTGAAGACTATGAAAAAATACCTATCAATAAATTTGGATTGGCTATGCTTCGTGGTATGGGTTGGAAACCCACCGAAGGTGTTGGTAAGAATTCTCAAGTGATTTCTGCTAGCCTGCCAGAGATTAGGTCCAAAGGAATGGGTTTGGGGGCAGATAAACTAATCAAATCTGCACGAAAAACACAAAATTCCGAAGAAGAACTAATACTCAAACAAGGATCTTATGTACAATTTAATTTCGGGAAACTAAATGGTCAATATGGACAAGTTTGTGGTTTTGATGAATTGTCTTCAAGAGTAATTGTAAAAGTTTCTCGCACTGGCGAATTAGAAAACGTAAGTGAAAATTTATTTCAATTAGTTACTAAAAGCGAATATGAAAAAAATTGTAATGTAATTAATATAAAACAATACAAAGAATATCATGATGGTAAAACTAAAACAAGCGATAATGAAGATCAAAGCTATCATCGTGAAAAAAAAACTAAAGAAAACATTTACAGTGATCATCGATCTAGACACCATAAAACGAAAAAAAGCAAACATTCCAAGTCGCCTCATAGAAAACATAAATCTAATCACAGCAGACATAAAACATATAAACACAAAAGGTCTTCATCTTAGTATACAATTAGAGTTGTAGATTAATTGTTTTATTACTAATGTTATTTTAATTTTTCTTGTAAAATAATTTCAAAGACAACTGTTTGTGCATTTTTACAGTTTTTCAGTTTAGCTGGCAGATAACAGGCTGTATGGCTGTTGTTTTGCTGCCACAAATTAAATAATAATTATGTCATTATTGTTTACGAGTATTTAAAAAAGTGAGTTATAAGACAACTATCAATTGTAATTAAATGATGTTGAATGTCAAATTTTGATAACTGTTATAAATTAAAATATTTCATTGCTGATCCATAATTTAATTCCTTGCTGTTCAATATTTTTCCTCTGAAACATGTTAATTGTGGAACCCACCATCTTTGTCAACCACTATTCAGGTCTAAGATCAAAGGGATATTATTGTCTTATATTTGTAAAATTGCATTTAATACCTAAGCGATTTTGAGAACGTTTTTATATAATATAATATGAACTTGTAATGGTTAAAAAAATGACTGGAGTCTGGAGATGTATCGTGACTTTAGATTATTTGCTACAAATTATTGTATGTAAAAATTATTTAGAATTCATGAATATCAGGAAATAGCTATGGAAAAATTGAGTGCATGAGTATTTAGTACTTTTTAAATACTATAAGTTCCGAGCCCTACTCACTTTAAAATAAAAATATGAAAGGAAGTCCGTGAAGTTCACTGATTTAAATTTGACAATTGGTAAATTCATTGCAATGTTAAACTTGCCAGAGTTAAATTGATTATTCAGAACGATTTATTTATTATGCTATACATTTAATAAGACTAGAGACACACTATGTGGGCGTAGCATAATCTTAAGACATTAAATTACTGTTCCGATAAAATTTTAGAAGTATAAAAATTAATAGATATTGTAACATTTTAACTAAATATATTATATAGTATAGTATAGTACACAATAAACACACCAATAAGATTGACCAACTCAAAATATACTTACTAAACACTTATTAACATGTTCTAATTATTACGAATATGCTAAAACAACACACAGCAGTTAGTTCTATATTAACCATCAACACAAGTGAACTCAACAATACGATTATTAACAGACATCTTCCATTCAGTAAAGTATTGCTTTAACTTTTAAATATAATTATTATTATACAGATAATAGATATATGTAAATAAAACATGTCTTATTATTGATAAATACCTCTAATATAGTGCTCAAAAACCTTAGCAACGGAAGGCTTATTCATAAGGAATAGAAAACCTTCTCTGGATAACTAATATTGTAATAAGGTTCTCCGACCGCCTTACAATATTTAATATTATTGTAGATATTATAATAGATTTTATTAGGTTTAGTTTAAATAACAATTTTGTGGTGTTGTCAACAAATCATTACACACATAATTTGGCAAAATCAAAGTAACAAGTACATTTTTCTTTATTGAAAGTGGTAGTTTGATAATAGCAAATAGGAATGGTTATTAAAACAAAACAAAATTGTATACATCGTATATAATCGTCATTGACATAATCTCTTGTTGTAGGAGGGTAGGTAAAAGAGTTGTTCAAACCACTGTGGTCATTACTATTAGACATCGATCAATGCCAAGTAGATTTTTTTTTTATTCCGAGACCTTAATAAGACGTAAGGACGGACACAGTTGAGGTAAGGCGGTCCGAGTGCGTACGCAGCCGTGTAAAATTTGATTAATTCATTAAAAGTAACACGTAAATGAAATTTTCTTATTTATTTTTATTACCAATAAAATAATGCTTATAATTTACAACATAATACAATGATAACTAATTTTATCTACTACAATATTTTCTAATAGATATAAAAAAAAATTAATAAATAAATATTTTTTAATTAACTGAACACACCGAATTACATGAAATTCTCTGTACAATAATAATTGTTTTAAGTACACCAAATACACATTAATACTCACCAAAGCCACTATCTAATAAATTACTTAGAAACCATTAGTTAAAAACAAATTTTTTTCAACACTGTTCGCAATATTATGTTAGTTGAATAACAAAATATAAAAACGTCTATTCAATATAGAAACGTTATAATGTTCATAATATGTTACATACATTATAATGTTGGTTATGGTTTAGTGAAAACAAATCTCTCAAAGCTAACATATTTGTTTATTTTATCATTATTATAATTCTTATTATTTTACTTGTCAAATCATTATTTGAATTAAACTAATATTTACAAATACATTAAAGTAGGCAGAACGATTATGTCATTTGTCATAATAGTAATAATATCAATAATAATCAATAAATTGAATAAAAAAAATTTGATTATAAAAAAAAAACACTGAAAATGTAAAAAAATAATAATACAACATCATTACCTATGTGGTATATTCAGATGTATAATTATTACACAAACTTATGTCAATACATAGAACAATAAGCGAGGGTTTGGAAAAATTATGAATGGTTATGTGAATAATAAATGCTTACTTTACGCAATGTTATATTACTCTAACATTTGAAAAAACCATTTAATAAAGTACGTAATTATAAAAAAAAAAAATACTGATTCCTACAAAAATAAATTAAAAATTAATAATAATGTTAACATGAACACTATTTTGTTTGTTAATTAATATTCAAATAATAATAGTAATAATAATAATTATTGTATTAAAAAGTTTTAATTAATGACTAAAAGGAATTGATCAGTCAAATTGATGTAAAAGACCAGTTAAAAAACTAATTTAGAATCAGACTTGTTAAGGAGGAACGTAAGGTGGGGGTTTGCGATATGACGGGGTTGATGATGGTTTTGACCTATGATTAGAGCCAACATTTGAGAAAGGTGGTGGTGGAGGCTGATATGGTGAATCTTCTGTATCGGCAAGTAAAGCTGTGGTGGCCATTGGTGGTGACCTTTGATATTCAGGTGGTGGTAAAGGTGGCTTTTCTTCTCTCATGATTATTGGTGTTTTATTTGTGGGCTCAAGTCTTTCATCTAACTCATCCTATTGCATTAAAAAAATATACATATATTAAATATTACAATGTAATCAATCTAATTTTTATCACTTGATTACTAAAATTAAAAATGTTTATTATTTAAAAAATAAATTTAATAAAGAGTATATTATTTATTAATATAAATAGCAGGCTCAGAATAACACTAAAGACTATTTCAAGGTACACAACATTAAAAATGTAATAAAACAAGAACACTAGCCTTCTCAGTCATACCAAAAAATATTCACAACATGAAATTATACCACCAGATATGAAATAATTCAAAAATATTAATTATGAGTCATATTAAAATTGAAATGTCATATATAGATAGCTCGGGGTGCCAGAATTCTGAACTCAGTTTTATACATAATGTAAGAAAATTATGAAAATAATTCTTACTTGGAATATTACTGGAATGCCACGACTTCGGAAGCTTTGTCTTTCATCATCACCAATTCTTAATTTTGATGATGGTCTTCGTCGATACAATAAACAAGCAAGTAATCCAGCAAACAGCATCATAGCTAAAATTATGATTGCTGGAATAATAAATGTCGAAAAATACTGGTCTGATGTGTCAAATAAAAGCAAAATATTGTCATCGCGGGGTGTAACATAGTTGGGTGTTTTGGGTGGTCGAACTTCGGTAAATCCACCTTCACACATTCCAGAAGGTACAACATGTGCTCCAACTACATTAAATAATGGTATCATATTTTTTGTTACATTTTCAGATAACTTTTCATCTTCATTTAGTAAAATCTAAACATGAAAAAAAAAAATTATAATTTTTTAATGTTAAACATATGATCAGTTACTACAATTGAAGGTATACAGGATTTACTTAATACTATAGTATAGTAAAAATAACTTACTTTTCGCAATTGTAGAACTTTTTCTTCATCACACCGATTCATTTCTAATGTTTTATTGAACCATGTCACCATTGTCATACCATTTACTGAACTGATTCCAAGAACAACAATGTTGGCTGTATTTTTATCTCTAAAAAGATTAGCTACACGTTCAACAAATAATTTTTTTAGTTTGGCAGAATTATTGAATTCTTTGAACTCTGGAGTTTTGAATATCATATCAAATTCAGCAGATGGCAAAGGCTTAGTTGTATTGGGTATAGATACTACTAAACTATCGTGATTTGATCTTCCTTCTCTATCAGTACAAATCTAAACCACAAAACAAATATAATATATTGTAAAATTTTTATCCTAAAATAATTTTTCAAAAAAGTATAAAATTCTATTTTTTAAGTTTAGTTAGGTTAACACAATTGGTCTTGAAACTAAAAATTGAATTAAACTTACAAGTTGATATTCAGAAAGGCTTTTATCACCCCACAATGGAATTCCATAAAATTCTTGGTTTTTAGTATCAAATTGTAACCAATTATTTTCTGGAACTGGTGTACGATCAATAGTCATCAATGATAATTTCAATCTGCGTGAAGCACCATCTTCAGGGTCATAAAATGTATCCTAAATATAAAAATTAAGTTGTTTTACAAACAAAATATACACTAAATTAAATGTATAGTAGTATAAGCATGATGTATACAAATACTGTTAATACATATATACAAAGAAATTGTTTACCTCTGGTACGACATAAGATAATAATTGTCCATAAGTGGCATTAATAAGATCAACTGGATTGCGCAATACAGGTTGATAATTTTGACTCGAAATAAATGATGTTGAAGCACAATTACCTAATCCTAGCCAACTAACATCTTCCAAAACAACTGAAGAACCAAATTGTTTTCCAAATTTAATTTTATTACTTTTTTCTGGTTTTAAAATCTATAATAAATAAATAATTTTAATATTAACAATTGAAAAATGTATCATAACATTCATAACATACTCCTAAAATTTGAGTTATTTGTTCATTAGGGCAGACTTCACGTGGCAATGTATCATTTGTCCAGGTAAACTGAATGCTATGTTTATCTTTGTTAACATTTAAATTAGAGATTCTTGGCCAGGCTAAGACTGTGATGTCTTTAACATCAGTTGAGTAAATTGTACTGATTTTGTCAATAATATCTAAACTCCAGTTAACTGGATGTGTCCAGGCCAATGAGTCTTGTTTAAGGCGCATTTGTAAAGTTAACTGATGATTAATGGCACGCAAGTGAGGTAGTTGTTGGACAACCAGTTCTAATGTATTGTTAACGGCCAAATTCCCAGAATCTTTTGCTTCAATTACTACTTCCCATTTTGATACATGATCCTCCAAAGGTCTATTAAATAATAATTTATTAAATATGAAAAATAATAACATAAAATATTTTTTTAGCAACATACAAAGCAACTAGGATTTGTTTTTCAGCGTCAAACTCAACCCATGATAATAATGTTGGATCTGTGTTTAATAGTGCCAACTTTAAGTGTTTTGTATCTCCATCTTCAGCATCATAGAATATATTGTTGGGAATTGGATACCTAACATAATAATTATGATTTAAAATAAATGATTAGACTTAATACAAAAATCTCTTACTTAAATGGTTTTCCAGCTGTAATAGCAAGTTTGGGTAATCTATGTTTAATTATTGGTGGCGTATTAGGATTTTCCCCATTTGTAGTAGTTGTAGTAGTAGTAGAAGTACTAATAGAATTCTCATTAGCTAGATCCTTTAATTTGTCTGTCACTAAATTTGGAGTTTCAGTAGATATACTTTCATCTGGTATGATTGTTGTATCATACGAATCACCCATGCCCACAGATTCCTACAATTAAAATTTATTTTAAAGATTGATTGAAAATTATGTAATAAAGTCTGCACCTATTACAGCGGTGGCATTAAAATGTAGCTGGACACAATTTAATATTGTGGAAAAAATAATAGAATTTTACCACCACTGCTGCAGTGTGCAGGCCTTCAAAAAATTGAATATTTTACATACAGATAATTGTTCGGTAGTAGGAGTGGAAGATTTTGTGTCGTAGAATGAAGGTGTTGGCTGAATTACATAAGAGTTAATAGCTTCACTTAAATCAAGAATTGAAGATAATTTCATATTCTATAATAATACATACATTTTTTAAAAATAAATCTAGTATAAAGCATGTATATAAGAATTTAATTACTTGAACAGGTGTAGAGTTAATAATGTCTTTTGGTACGTTTAACACAGATTCATCTCTACGGTGATGTCTATGATAATGATCGGTATCATATTGATGATTTAAAAAAGATGGAGATGGTTCAATAATAAGTTGTCTAGTATCAGGAATAATTTCTTCTTCATCATCATCATCATCATTATAAGATTGAGAAATAACTTGTTTGTTATCATCATAGTCATCTAAATTGACATTTCCTGAAATTTTGTCTTGTTTCAGGCCTGTAACCTAAACAATTATAATCAAATATAATCTCAATATCATTCAAATGTCATAAATATGTATTACTTGACGTCGGCCTCGCAAAGGGTTAAAAGAATTAACTAATCTCCAATTGGTAACTGGTAACTGCAATACCTCAGACAATGTTCCATCAACAGTATTACTTTGCATATGACGTACATGATCAATATGTTCTGGCAAAATATTACCTCCACAGCCAACCTAAAAGCCGTTGGTATTACTTTAGCACTTAGTTTATTATACAGAAACAGTATAACATAAAATTGCACAGCATAATTTCTTACCTCCCAAAGAACAAAAGATGTATCATTAAATTGATGCTTTTTATGGGACTGACGTTCAGATGATACTATATATTCAATTAACCAAGAAGATACACTTTCTTGAGGTACTAATAAAACAGCATCCTAAAACAATTGTATTAGTAAAAATTAAATATTAGAACAAAATTATTCTTACTTGAGGAAGACTTAAAAATCCTGCTAAATTTTTCAGTGCGATAAGCCTTTGTAAAGGTTGTATGCTCTTAAAATTCATACCAATAACAAGGCATAGCAAAATAGAATCTTCAGAATTTTTACATCGTTTCTAAAAAAAATTTCAAATGTTATTTGATATATTTATTATTCATGGTAGGTAAAATTAATAAGATTATACAAACATTATTTCGAAGATTTTTCCATTTTAGGGGAGCAACTCTGATAGAAGCTACATCAGAAACTATTCGGCGACTTTTATCTCCTGCTCTTACCAACAAATGATCACGAACATCTTCAGGTCCAGGTATTCCTTCAAGCTCACCCTTACCTTGAACTAACCAACTTGGAAGACCACCACCATCTTGACCCAAAAACTAAGTAAAAAATAAAAATATTAAACATATATTTTTATTATGATATTAGTAATTCATATATTATAAATAATTAATTTAATATAAAATAAAAAAAGAAGGAAAATTGTTTGTAATAAGGTAGTTCTATCACTCTCAATAATAGATATAGAATATAACTACTAGGACAATAAATAATTTTATTATTTTTTACGGTACACATGTCGTATGCTATCTACAATTACCTACGTTATCTACTGTAGTCTGTAATCTGTATTGACGGTATTGATATATTTCTAAATATTGTATATATATATAATTCCTTTAGTATTTTAGAATTTAGTATGTGTTTTATCACCGAGATCAAATATTGTAGTTGTGTGTATTATACAGCAATATTATTTTTAATGACAAAACTTGTTTACAATTTTTAAAAGATCATGAATTATTACCTAACACAAAATTGTGTACAAAGTTAAATTCTGTTGGAGAACAATGTAATGGTGAAATGAAAGAAACTTTAAAAAAAAGCCGAAAATGTGATGTAAACAGAGATATTATTACAACAAAATATTAATGATGTAAAAAACGGGTTGTCAATCATGGAAATCCACTCGTAAAGAAAATGTATATATATATAATCATTTTTTTTACTTACACCGACAAAAATGGAAAAAATAATAGTGGATTAAGTTTATGCGAAATATTGGGACTTGTTTGGTGCTGGGCAAATCAATTTAAAAATATATAAACAGAAAAAATTACTGGTAGAGGACATCACACAATCTCAGATTGGTATAATTTGTGTCAAGACGTTGTCATCAAACAGTTAAACATCGGGGAAAATGGGAGGGTAAAGGATACATTGTACAGATTGATGAGTTTTTTTTCCAAGACAAACGAAAGTACAATGAGGCAGATTACGGCTTGGTGATCATAGACCTAATAATACAAATTCCTATTCTGATTTAAGTTCTTGTTCTAATTTTGAAAACGATTCAGGTACTCAAATACAGACTATTAAATGTTTATGGAAATACACAAAAGTAAAGTATGGAATCAGAGCTTGTGGAGCGACCAATCTTCTTGAAAGACAATTGCAAGAAGAATGGTAGAGATCCATCTATCAAAAAAATGTTTTCTACGAGATATAAAAAAAACATTTTTGTAAAAAATAAAAAAATATGAACAACTGTTAACAAACAGGCTATTTAAAATATGACAACTGTGAACTAACAGGCATTGATCAGATTAATAACTTAAGTATGTAGATTTTTGTATATGATTCTCTTGGTAGATAGCATATGACACATGTGCATTTATTATAATTTAATTGATAAAATATGATAAATACATGAGACAAATTCTAATGAAAGTATTTTTAATTCTAAAATGTTAATATGGCTTGCAAATTTTTCATATTAATTAATATTTAAATAGTTCTATAATGTTTAAAATTATGAAAAATATATTTTAAAAAATGTATGTTAAATTAGTTTGGTATTGATATCATAAAATAAATCATCTAATTTATAAAGAATTAAGCTTAAAATATGTTCTTAAATATAATTATTAAATTTATTATATTTAACATCGCAGCATAATTATTTGAGAATATATATTATAAACTACAAATTAAGAATTATCTGGCGACATTAATTATCAATAATAAGCAAATAATAGTTTTTGATGTCTGTAATCTAATAATATTTATAACATTACTAAATTATAAAAACAAGTGATAATTTAAATTTCTATAATTTGTAATCACAGGAATAAAAGATAATGTAACAAGTACATAAAATATTTAACAATATTTTATGAGATAGCCAAGTACAATACATATAAGTACTAATAAAAGGAATAAAACAATAAATAAATAGAATTTATCATGGTTGAAAACTTATTTAGTTATTAGTTAATCTAAAAATTGTTTAGGTATTTATTACTTTTTAAGCCTAAAACGGACAACATTTAGTTGGACAAATTAAACTCTGTTGCACATCACTGTGTTGTAATAAGAAGTTTTTTATTAAAAAAAGATTAAGACCTGCTATTATTTGAGATAATGTAATTAAATTCATATTATAATAATCTAGTAATAATAATTGTAAGAAATAATTAAATACAGTTTAACAGTTTGATTTATTCATTGTATAGGGTACTTCTTAGAATATTTATTGTTATTTTAATACCTAGCACATACAAATTTGTAATTTATCTAAATAATTTATTACTTCTTTATAATAAGAGTTGACAACGCATATTTGTTTTAAACAGTAGTAAAATAAAAATGTATATACAGTAAAAGCCGCTTATTAGAAACACTTTGGGACCAAGGTGAATTGTGTCAATTAACCGATTGTTTCTAATAAGCGATTGAAAAAAAAAAATGAATAATAGGTACGCGAAAAAAATATGTATGTATGTATGTACCTATATTGTATAATTTAAAAAAGTATGCACAATTGTGTATATTTTACGATATTATGTAAAATATTTATCATTCGTAATTTGTTTTTTTACGTCGAGTAACTCCATGACCATATTTTCATACGAGTAATATTGCCCCTTTAGCTTTGTCACTTATTTTGAGTGCGTATGTGTGTTCAGGTAGAGCTCCAAAATAAAGCCCAGTCTCGTCCGCATTGAAAATATCAGAGCGTGTGTATTGGGCTAGCAAATCGGTCAAATGAGTTTCAAACCACGAATGGTCGCATGAAAATTGGCTAAAATCTTAGCGTTTAGACATTTTTAGATTTTTAGAAAAAGGAAACACTAATAATCTTTACATACGCACGCTGAAGCTAAACTACAAACGGTACGACCAGACCAGTACGTACAGAAAGAGCATTCTCGCGATAAATTACAGTAAAAATAAACGTAACGACAGCAAAGATAAAATTGAAGTACATTGGTTATCGCTAGATAATCGGTGTATATGTCAACTGACCTTCTCCCAATTGTTTCAAATAATCGATGTGATGTTTCAATATTCCGATTTATTTTCAATGTTCTAATATACGGCCGATCCGTCCCGAGACATTTTGTTTCAATAACACGATTGTATCAATTATCCGTGTTTCTAATAAGCGGCTTCTACTGTATTAATAAATAATGTCAACATGAATTACTTTTGGCATTCCAATAAATCTTATCTTAATTAGTATTTAAATATAATAGTTTTTAATCGTTTTCTAATTTATACTAGAATGAATAAGTCCATAAACAAAAATAAATTAGGGTCAAACAAGCACTAAAATATAGTGTACTAGGGTGGTTTTGGGACTGATTAATAGACACATTGTTCGAGTTGAATCGATACATTTTGAGGGAAAGTAAAAAGGACTTACGTCAATGGGGCCAGTGTTGTCGACAACCGAGTCATGAGGTATTTTGAAGTAGAACAACTTTCCGACGGTGGCCACAGGTTCCGGGATGCTCCACCATTTGTGTTTGACGTCGCCGGACTTGTGTGCGGACGCCAGACACAACAGAAACGCGACAGCTGCGAAACCCTTCATTTGGACACTAGAGACAAACACAAAGCGTCGTCACATTAATGGACGTGAAAAACATGGCAAGACAGGAAAAAGCAACGGGTCGGCCAGTTGTGTGCGTGGGCAGTCGATGGCGGGCGCGACAGATGGTCCGATGGGGCACCGAGTGAGTGCGGGGGGGACGTGAAAAAAACTCGCCGCACGCCTACGCGCACGGGGGGGGGGCGAACAACAACTGGTCGACACGGTACCCGTCGACGGGATCCAGGGCGGCCGGCCCGCCGGTCGACGGTTCGGCGGACGTCCGGTACCGGGAAACGGGCGAAACGAAACGACTGTATAGGTCCCCCGTCGTTACTTACTGGTCTGCGTGCGATACCGTTTGAACGCGAAATAGTGTGCTGCCAAAGCGCCAAATCACTCTGAGATAATTTATTCGACGAGCAGGAGGGCTAATACGTGGCGGCTGACACGTCAGATTTAGTCGTCGCGGTCACGGCGCCAATGACGACATGGTGATGACAACAATATCGAAAACACTAACAAGCGACGGACGAGAAGACGAACACGAACGGTGCGCGCGCGACGTGCGTATGGCGGCCACTGCTGTCTGCTGCGGAGTGCGGAGTACGAGCACTACGAGCACGGTTACGAGTTACGAATTTTGTGTGTAGGCGGCAGAGAGTTGAGCGGTGTTCGTGTGGGAAGACGGCCGAACACTCGAGGGGGGAAGACTGGAACACTGATATTATTATTATTACCATAATGTGTGATCATCTCCAAAGTCTCAAATAATGATAATAATATTAATGTTACCACCTCCACGACGACGACATTTCGCGGCGACCGAGGCCGCGGTGTGTTGTTCCCGTTCGATAGAGTCGTCGGATGCGGCCGGCTGACGCTTCTAGATAGCGCGCGGCGTACCGCAAACCGTAATAAATATTAACAATAATGTTACAGTCGACTCGCGAAATAACGAAATTGGATTGAACGAAAATCTCGATATAACGAATAAAACTACCGGTCCCTTGAAAATGTCGCGGTATAACGAACAATTAATGTAATGTATTTTGGTCCCCTCGATGTAGCGAAGCGTTTTTGATCAAAACTCTCGCGATGTAACGAATTTTTATAAATTTAGAGCTTTCTATTACGAATTTTTTAGTTTTAATTGAGATCAGATACATGTCTCTAGCGTATAACTCTATAAAAAATATATAAAAAATAAGTATGTTGCTATTACCACATAATAGATCACGAAGTTTTTCTGATGATTATCATGCGATGATAGTACACTCAAGTACAGTATCGCAATTAAGATGAGACTTATGTCGATTAGTGGCTCTACGCGAAATGTACGTAACATACTATGTAACATATCGGTACCGTTTTACCGTATGTATACGAATAATAAAATTTTGAATTTTTGTTTTAAATCTCGTTTATAACGAATTCAATTGATATATTATGTTGATATAACGAATTTCGATGTAACGAACTTTCGATATAACGAATTTTTGTCTCGGTCCCTTGAAATTCGTTATATCGCGAGTTGACTGTATTATGTTGTTGTCGAAACGTTCGGCTGTCGTCGCCGACGGAATCGTTTTACGGGTGCTGCACGAACGTACGAGACCGGAAACGGAGTTACATTGTAATATTATTATCTAGGTACCTGTTACACGTCTGTAATATCCGAAATCCAAGTGGTTCGAGTTCCGGTAAAAATTTAACGTTTGTCCGTCGTCCAATTGGTTAGTACTCGCCCGACTACGATTACCTATATTAATATTATTTTAATACGATTTTATATTTCGCTCGTTCTATTCCATTAATTCTACGCCGATTGTATACTACGCACTATAACGTAACTAGGTGTATACCTACTATTGTCTAACACGACGTAAATAAGCTTTTACTTGATTAGCCACAACCTCAGCCCGTCCTTTGAAAAAATTAATAGAACTTTTGCTATCAATACGTTCATTCACGATAGAATGTTATTTTGGAATAGCATCGCGGTTATTTAAGCCGCGCCGTTCAAATCCCCCTTAAATTCTTCAATTATTTATCTGTACATTCTGAACACTGCGTTTAATATTAAAAATGTTTTTTCTTTTTGCGCAATCAGTCAATAATAATTGTCTTCCGTTGTGGACGTCAATTTGATTCGAACGTAGGTAATAGGTTTATTTAGAGCTAATTTAAACATAGCTTTCAAAATTTTTTCAGCTTTGTTGACTTTTGGATTATGAATTCCAGATTTGTGGTTACGACTTACGAGTAGTCACAAATCTATTTCTAACGTTTGTTAGTACACAGTTTTATATTTCTAAACAGGTTATTTATAGGTGCGAAAGCTGGCTTGACGTTACCGGGGCACCTGTAATAAAAGAGTGTAATTTTTCAGGGAATAGATTTAGGTTACGAATTCAAAATTTTTATTTGTATTGCGTAAACGAGTTACTGGAAACGAAAAGTTTAAATGCTAAAATTTGTTTCAAAAAAAAGTTTTACATGTTTCTGCAGATATTAAAAATAGTTGTTGAAGTGTGAAAAATCTACAATTATAGAATTATAGTATCGAATCCGCACGTGTACAGCAGACAAAAAAAAAAAAAAAATAATAATAAAAATAATGATAAAAAAATAGAAGAATTTCTTGAATTTAAAAATTTTGATTTCAAAAAAGTTAACACTTAAATATTGATAACTGGTGTGCTATCTGTAGCGAATGAAAAACATTAATAAATAATAATTATTAAATAATCGTTGTTTTTGTTTCGTTACGAGAACCGTCATCGCATATTATGCCATACACCTTAATTTATATGCCATTATTACATATATTTTTTATGTATAATACACAGGCATTCCCTGACATTTTTCTAAGGAGTAGAGGCAAAATTAGTTTAAAAAATAAATGAAGATATTGTATTTATACATTTTTTTTATAGAACATCATTATTATATATTAAATTATTACAATTAGGTAACAAATTTAAAATTCTAGGGGGTTAAGTGTTCCGTTACACACATGGACGCACATGGTATTGTACACGCATTACGTCGTGTGTTAATTTATTATGGTAGGTATTTCATGAATACAATCCTATCGTTCACGCGTCTTTCTACCGTCGATAATAATATATCATTAATTAGAAATAAAGATTTATTTATCTTTTTTTAAAATGCCGAGTTTTCCAATGAGTGCTTGACGTTTTTTATTTTTCCGGACGTCATAATACGGCAAGCGGTGGCTGTACGTAAACTTATATCATTGATTATGGATAGTATAAAAGACGGACTTCAAATACATCGTATCGTATACTCGCGTTCCGTATGATTAATTATATTAAAGTAAAAGAATTTGTCAGTAACTCGCGTTAAGCCTATACTTATTATGACTGTATGTCCATTATCCATCATAATAATATCAAATGTACAAATCACGACACTGTGTACCGTGTAGTAAAATTCGACAACATATTTTAGTCAGATAATGGTAGATTATAATGTACTAAGACATAACATAATAATATTATTATAATCTTATAAAATACCTACTTATATAATGGATTACTATCTATAACCAATGCTAATGTATAGATTAACGATTTATTAAATAGAAATATAATACTGAATACGCCTAACACATGTAGATTTGTTTGATATTAAAATGCAAAGACCGTTTTAAACCTGAGAGAATTTTATATTATTAGATATGTTTAAATGGGTTGAAAACCAAGGGGACTGAAATCCACGACGAAGCCGCAGGAAAACGTGTTACACGCGGCGCAGGTGCGTTATAAACGCATTGAACCAAATTTTATTACGGATATAAGTAAATTTTAGTCTATATAGGCCATAGGTGGCCAATCTGCGGCTCGCGAGCCACGTGTGATTCTCATCATAGTCAGATGTAGTTTGCATCTTATTTATGAAATCAAAATTTACTTAATATTATTATGAATTTTAATTTTTTAGGTATTAGATTATTTTATATATTATCAAATTATACAAAATGTGTCTATAAGAATTTTGGCTCTTGGTATCATTGTATTTATCTATGTGGTCTGTAAGCCCATTCATGTTAGTCACCCATGCTATAGGCTGTAGTGATCTAATATCTAAGAAGCAATTATAAAAAAGTCGTATGAATTTTACGTAAAAAAATTATCCACTTTTCACGGGCGTGTATTTAAATATTGACTATTGATGATGTGACTGGACATTTAGATTCTAAAGGCGTTTAAAATAGTATTATAAATTATAATATTATAATTAATTGTTGTGTTGTTGTGTACCGTAGTTGTGCTTGAAACATATTATTATTTTAGAACTAACTATACAAAAATATGATTTTCTAGTTTCTTTTTGATCTAACCTCACCTATGTATACAAGTCGATGAGTTATAAATAATAAATTATACATACCTCGTATAATAATTGGAAAGTGTACTGAATAACAATTTTTATAATAATTGAATCGTAGTTATGAGTGGTTATGGTTATAGAGATAATAGCACGTTGATAATTTTTGCATTTTTTTTCTTTATTCCTATAAGGCTATAAAAGACTATCTTAGCTAAAAACTCGTTTCGTGCATCCTTGATTCAAAATATACTAATTTAATTTTACATTATTTTTATATTTTTAGCAATAAATGCATTTTTGTTTTTTACATCATTTTTTATATTAGATATAGGGCATTTTCTCTATTGTTTGTACGATGTAGTGTATTTTTCTCAAATTTTAGATTTTAAAAAACATTTTTATGTTCAAATAAATTTTACATTTTAATTTATTTTTAATAATTTTGATAAATGTATTTTACTATTGAAACTAAATTTAAATTTCTATCAAAAACTATCCTCAAACTTAAAGATCAAGAATTTTATCAATTACACTTATCGTGCACACACACACAATCACAATCATTGTAAAATTAATACATTTATCACCTCACTCAAAATTTAACATATAAAACTACTAATTTTTTTAGTTTTTTCTATCTATCATCATCTTTTAAGGAAGTAAAAATACTTCAATTTTCAACTTTGGGACTTTGAAAGTAGTTTCTGATAGAAAATTGAATTTAGTTGGTATTTTTGGGGGAGGGGTCAAAAGTAAAAATTTCCAGTGATTTTCTTAAAAATTGAGAAAACTAAAAAAAAAAAAAAATTTTTAGGAAAATATGAAATTTTTACACCAAGTCAGCTTTTGACAGAATGTATTTCTTTATTTTATTATATTTTAAAAACAAATGCCGTAACGACATGAGATTTTCACTAAATTTTTAAATTATTATAATTTTATAATTTGTACATCGTATAATTTTTAAAATAGTTGACGATTTTTTAAGCTATTATGAATTATAGGCATAAGAAATATTAAATTTTTTTTTAAAAGTTTTTTTCTTGAAATTCATCAAAAGACAGACAAAATTACAAACAAGTAGTAGGTAAAAATTTTATAAAATCTTTAGTTTAAAATGTACACTGCTCTCTAATGTGTTTAATATATTTTTGGGCAAGGTTAAATATATTTATATTTTATCATTAGGTAAAATTTATATGAACTAATATACGTTTTTCTTCCTATTTTTGAATTTTCAGTCAACTTTAACTTGTATAACAAAAAATATGTAGTAAATATTATAAAAATTGTTAATAGGCATGTTATTATTTTAGGGTGGCTATTTTTATAAAAATAAAAAACGGGACAAACAATTTTTTATTAATATGATAAATTTTTATTTTTTTCAAATTACATATAAGATATAATTTATTTAAATATAATAAAATAATACCTAATTAATAAATAATAATTAAATGTTGCTCTTTTTGAAATTATTTTATATTTTTCTAATACATTGATATTTTTTTTACAAAAATTAATTAATAATATGGAAATAATGGGATTTAAATGATATCATCTTTTAAAAAAAAGGATAAAAAGCGTCCCGTTTAGACTTTTTCAGGACAACGGGACATGATGATAAAAAAAGGGACATCTCGTTTTAAACGGGACATATAGGGTCACCCTATTAAATAATATAATGATATTACCAATTCGAATTGAATAATAAATTAAGGAGTACAAAAATATGAATAAGGTTGATTATAGAATAGATGAACTTATATTTATTTTATATAGGTATTTGAATTGTTTATGACGTAGCCTATGCCCTATACTTTATTTACATAAGTGTAACTAAATAGTTAAGCGATAAAAGTATAAGTGAAAATGTCAAACAGCTGGATTATAGTAGAAATAGCGACCGCCGATATCATACAGTTAGATTATATTATAAGAGATGAAAAATGGTGTGTTTTTACAAAAACAACTAAATCCTTTAAATGTTTAAGCATTAAAGCATTAGCTAACATACAAAACTGTACGGATCTTTTTTAAGATTTAAAAAAAAAAATTAAAATGCATAAATCAATAGAATGTAAATATTTATACTAAGTTAATAACCGTATTTCGTTGGGGCATATAAAAAATAGTCAATAACAATATATATAAAGAAAATACATATAAATAATGTTAAATGTAATTATAAAATTATTTGCCCGTGATTCAATTATAATGATATTTATTATGAACGCGAATCTATGTAAAAAATAATGCATAATAAAATAAATTCGACAAAAACTGTTTATTTTGTGGATGGCTGAAAATAAAATAACACGCAACCAAGGAGACTGCCGACGGGACGATTTCGGCGTGAAGTACAAACAATATATGGTTCAGTTTAACTCTGCAATTCTATCTGATTCTATCGGAAAATAAAGTCAATAATTGTAAAAAATTTTTTCATTACGTACTTACACTTTATATAAATAATGGAGAATAAGCGTAAGCACGCGTTAGTTGATGACGATGTTAATGAAGAATATCAAATCAACAAAAAATTAAAAACCTGCGATGTTCAAAGTAAGTGTACAAATTAACGTTTTATTTTATTGTTAAGTATTAATTGTTATGATATACGCTACAGAAAATTCGCGCGATAATAGTATATCATCGGGCAACTTGGGTGATGACGAAGATGATGGCTCTTCATTAAAGAATTGTATTCAAGTGGAAAGACCTGCAAAAGACAATCCTCAAGATTGTTCTGAAGAAGTTTCGAACGATGAGGTCACATACCCAGTAAGTACAGTACCTACCTATATTTATTAGATAGTCTCTGCAGACTTGGCTATTCATTTATTATTATGGTTTATAACTATGATATTTTTCCTTTTAATTTTCAATAAAATTTCCAAAATTATTTTTTTTTAAAAGATTAACCTATGAAAAACAAGGATAAGTTGCTGTTTTGTAATGTAATATGTAGACCTCGATTTAATTGTTCTTGATCTTAATACATTTAAATAACTCAAAAATACCTTCTTATTTTCTGAAGTCAATCCATACATAAATATATTTTTCTTTCGACACAAAGTTTTAGACTTTGTTTTTTTAAATAAGTCAGAAAATGTTTTATACATTATTTATACTCGTATAGACTATTGGATATATGGAAAAGGTGATAGCTTGGAATTGTAATCCGGAAATTTCTCAATCATATTTTTGGAATAATGAAGAAAGGACCATTCCAGATAATGGTATTGGTACCATGATGGAAGATGATATTTTTGATGACACAATTTCAATTGTACGTAACTTTATTTTTCTCAGATTTATACCAATACCTAAGAGTGATCATTTCAAATTTTTATAAAACTACAACGTATATAGGTTTTCGTAACACAATAATTAGTCACTTTTATATTAAATAGGAAAAAATATGTTAAATACAGACATTACTGTTAACCAGATTTATTTATGTAGCATAAACTTTTCCTCGAAGAGGTTCAGATATTTTACTGCTTTTATATTATAATTTGCTCATAAATTATATTCAATTTTCCAAATAGCGAAATATGTCATTATTATACGCTGATGACTTTAAAAATTAAATCGTATTATTAGAACCTTCATTGAAATATAAAACATTTAGTTAAGATTACATAATATTTTCGTTTCGTTCTATGATTTTTATATAATACTAGCCGACCCGTCACGGCTTCGCCCGTGATTGGTTGTTTATTTTACCTTCGGATGATGATATATTAATATGTAGAATTTTTTATTCAAATTTTATGGTTTTAATGGTAACCATGGTTAAAAAACAATAACTTTAATAATAATATTGGATATGCGTAAAAATGACCATTTTTCTTAATTTATTTTATTTTTTTATAAGCAAAAGTGATACTAAAACCTTCATCAGACTACCAGGTTTAATACTAAACAATTTTAGCCAAATCGGTTCAGTAGTTTTATCGGTTAGCGCGGTCGACGGTCGTAGAACACCCCTTACAATTTTATATAGTAGTATAGATTTATTTGTATTTGTATTTTTATAATTTCAATTCAATTAGACGAGCTCGAGTGCAGTTTCTGTTAAATCTTCGGCTAGTCAGGAGATGAAATATTTATTTACCATCGACGTTGACTACGGAGATTCTGATGATGACTCTGATGATGACTCTGATGATAAATCTGGCTCTACAGGCTCTAGAGAAGTGTGTATATTATATTGTATAGCTGTACAAATTTTACACTATTTCATTAAAATATATTTATTTATTTTTATATTTTAAATTTTATTAGACAAAATCAGATGATGGACAAGACAATTCCTGATTACCCAATGATTCGACAATAGCTTCAAATATAATACAATAGCGACCAATTTACGGTTATTCAAACCATTCATTTTTTTTTTTTTGTATTTATCAAATTTTCAACACTATTATTACTCTTATATTCATGATTAATATTTTTACCAATTTCTATATTTTCTTATTACAAACACAATTTATTTTAATATGTACCCAAATTTTGTGTTCTTATATCTATAATTTTAATATTTTTGCAAATCTTCTTTATTTTCTGAAACATTTATTTTTAACATTAGCAAATTTTGTGTCTTTTATATTCTATGAAATTTAATATTTTTGCAAATCTTCTTACTATTTTTTATTATAAACACAAATTTATTTTAATTGAAATTCAAATTTTGTGTTCTTTTATATTCTATGAATCTTTAATATTTTCGTCAAATTTCATTACTTTTTCATATACAAACACAAATTTATTTTTAATTGTTCAAATTTTTGTTCTTTATATTCTATGAATTTAATATTTTGCAAATTTTCTTACTATTTTTCTATTACAAACACAAATTTATTTTTAATTGTACTAATAAATTTTTGTGTTCTTTATATTCTATGAAATTTAATATTTTTGCAAATTTTCTTACTATTTTTCTATATACAAACACAAATTTATTTTTAATTGTACCAATTTCTTGTGTTCTTTATATTCTTATGAATCTCTTAATATTTTTAAATTTTCTTACTATTTTCTATTACAAACACAAATTTATTTTTAATTGACCAAATTTTGTGTTCTTATATTCTATGAATTTTAATATTTTTTTGCAAATTTTCTTACTATTTTTTCTATTACAAACACAAATTTATATTGTACCAAATTTTCTACCATAATTTTTATGTACTATATATTCTATGAATCTTAATATTTTTTGCAAATGTTCTTACTATTTTTTTCTATTATAAAAACAAATTTATATTGTACTTAATTGTTTTTATCATGTATTATTTATTATTGTATTATATGTATACAAAACAAAAACTATAAGCATTATCTACTATTGTATATTTCAAGTTGTAAATTATAAATTAAAAAATATTTTGCTTAAACATAAGTTTACAAGTCATTTTTGTAATTATACTATTTTAATACTTATAACTTAAAAAATAACAACTATGAGAAAACAGTATAGATTACTGTAGTTACCATGACTGCGGTAAATTTTAATTTAATGATCGAATGAAATTATATTAACCGTATATGCTCTGTCAGTTTAGTAAACGTTGTTGTTTTATACTTAAAACATATTGCTGTAAATATCTAATTTATTTTTCTGTTATAAATACTATTGGTTGAATTTTTTTTATTAAAAATATTACATACGCATAATTCCTTTTTTCAAATCCTAAAATTATTAGTAAAAAAGAAACAATAATATTATAGATAGTTATTTAAAATCAGTGAGTGTTCTGCTAATTTTATTATACCTGACTTTAAAACCTGAAAATGGGAAATTTTTTATTTGAACCATGCGAAACGTTATAAATTATATAATATTATTGTAAAGTTATATTTTCTAAGAATATTAATTTATAATATATAACCACATAAAACGTTTATTGTAGTTTTTTTTTTCTTTAATTAAAACTAATTATTCGCATTTATTTAAAGTATTCATTTTTTTAATTATTTTATTCATATTTTTATGTGTTGTGTTACTTTCTTGTATGGCATTGACAAAATGCATAGCGCGAATCAAATCCTGAATTCACTTTCCATTTACTTTTTTATAATGATAATGCATGATAATTATATATAAGTTTTATAAGTGTCATCAATCATCATTCTTGTTAAAGATTATTGATATACTCAATTATTTTATAGAAGTGTAATTAAATATTTTATTTATCATTAAGATATAATAATACAACAAATTATAGTATTATATAAATAGTAGATGGTGAATCACCACTGGGTAGGGTCCGGCATATTATCCCAAATATAATAGCGGCCCTACTCTCTGAGTATCAGACTATAGGCGTAATTTATATTTAATAATTTTCTAAAAATATTGATAATTTGACGATCTTTAACATCGGTAGAACTGGTAGGATCAGAAGAATTTGTATCGATACTGTTTTCCAATTGAGTAGATATATTTTCTTAAATATACATGTTATTATATTATGATGATAAAAAATTAAAAATACATATTTATTTTGAATGTATGTGTTTTTAGCCAAATAAACCTACTGCTTTCAATTAAACAATTGCTATGCATAGATAATAAGTAGATATGTAATATGGGTATGTCTATTAGTTATTACAAATTATAATACAAAATGTCATAGGTTTAATAAGGCACTAACTAGTTAAAAAAGTCATCACTCATCATTAATATTTTATAATGTATGTACATGTACGTATATCTTTTAAAAGATACAATATACAAACATTTGAAAAGTAAATATTTATTATAAATTAATATTTATAATAATTTAAAAGTATGGTTGGTAAAACTAAAAAGAACTAGCCACTAGGTATAACATTGTTACTATACTACCAATTGGCAATTATTCTTTTTTTTTATTTTGTAACAATATTTTCTTGAAACTACATAGGTAAACCAGTGTCACAGTCCCAGATTTCAATAATATTATGATTTCACCATTGTACAAATGTACAATACATAAAATGAATAGTTTTAATAAAAATAAATGTATGTGTAATTAATAATACTTACCGATTGTACTAAAATATTATTTGATGTGAATGGAAAACATAATTTTAGCTGTTTTGGGTTTTTTGCAGCTTTTAATCAGCATTCCATTTCAGTC